CCTAAAAGGATTTAGAGATAATAATTATATCCATCCCTAACAACCTAATAATCTTAAATAAGCTCTATGTGAATTACATCCACAGGAGCTACTTTCAACAATAATTTTACATAATTCATATAAATAATTAACAGTTATTAATTGATCAGATAAGAACTTCAAAGTGATTTTTTTTATACAATTAATTAATATCTAAACAAAGATAATATTGGTCAACTACTTCAATTTTATTAATTCATTATGAAATTATCAAGATTGGTATTGTGATATTCATATGTAGAATGGATAATGTTAAAAAAATAACAAAATTGTTATTCTCTCTAACTTTGAGTTTAACCCAGTTGGACAATAAATTTTAGAATTAACTAAATTTATTGATATTACATAAATGTATAATTTTCTCTTAAAAAGTTCTGATGTTAAGTCCTTTAAAAGTCTATTAAGTTTTATTAACATGCAAATAATGGAACTTTTTGTGATTTTTTGATATATAATATGTTGTAAATTGAAATCTCGATAAATAAAATCAATAACTACGAAAATTTTAGAAAAATTACAAAATTAGTTGACATTCCCCAATTTGCATCGGCTGATCCAAGACCTGTCATCTTTTTTAAGAAGTTTGCGTCTGCCATAGACCATAACACTCTCGCATTATAGGTAGGTCATAATTCGGTTTCGTTTTAAATGATTACTCTCGCAGTATGGGTACTTTATAAGTAGGGTTCGTTTTAACCAAACCCTTTTAGCCGATTTGTATCAATTTGAATAAGCAATGTAATATTGTATTGAAGCTATTCCATAGATCCTAAATATGATTAAGCATGGATTGAAAAGGGTAATAAAAACTGAATCACATTATATATTTAGGTATTGCATTAATAAATTTGAATCAATTTTAAAAGCAATTGAATGCTATGATGAAGTAATATCTATCGACCCTAATATGCTGAAGAATGGAATAACAAGGGTAATTTATTGTTAAATATTAATATGTATAATGCTTTATCATTTCATTTCTATTCTATAGAGTTTTATACAATCTGAAATAATATCAACAAGCAATCGAATATTATGATGAGGATTTTGGTCAGAATGCTTATAAACAAAGCTAACGATCTAATATAAGAATAATTTGTAAACAAAGTTTGCACAATAAATCAAAACAATAAGTTATATAATTAAGTTAGCAATTAAGAAATCTTGGAGATTTGATGAAGTTAAATTTATATTACGTGACTAACAATTGGATCGTTTTCTACTTTCCAAATTTGAGGAGTTTATTTTGAATTTAGATTAGTTGAGAACAATAAATAGATATTTAGATTTTGAGTTACAGAAAATTACAAATTTATGCAATTTGACTTTATTCTGTTAAACAATGTTACAATAGTGAATATTCTTGATATTTTAAAAGTATTGGATTGAGATGTCTCCAACAAAAATGTTAAATGTAGATTGATTTCCAAGACACCAAGATTTGAGAAAGCCTTTATTCTTCGTAAATAATTAAATAATCTATTAAGTATTTATTATAAAAGTAATGCTTTTTATTTCTCATAACTTGTAAAATCAAGGAGTTATTTAGACTTTTAGTAATAAAAAAAGTTATACACTTCAACAAAAGTTTATATTGCTTATTGCATTTTTTTTTATTGATTATCTGATCCAGAAATTATCAATCAAATATTGTAAATATTATCACCAGAATTAGCTTGACAATCTGGTTCAGTCTCATCAAAAATTCAGCATTTATTTCTGGTGACTCATTCCTCATCATTCTTCCAGCAAATGTTTTTCTAAAAATTTTACCACGATGGAACCAGTAAACACTATAAACCTCTCATATATATGAGACTAGTTAATTCAAATCTACAGAATGAAATTGGTCCACTTTTCCAAAGGCAGCCATCGTCATAGTGTCTCCTTATTTTTACTATTCTTGCTATTAGTTATTTTGTGGCAGTGTAATCGTTTATCAGATCAGTTCTGGAGAATCTGAATCTCATTCTGTAACCAATAATCTTGCATTCTTATATATTTAAAAAATGTAGAAATTAACTCTATTATTAGGATCTCCATCGAAATTTCTATTACCACAGGATTTCCATACGCATGATCTTATATTTTCCTTTATCATTAAAATTGTATGTTTAAGTAATTATGTAATCAATTTATTTATATTTGATTAATTTGAATTATAATAAAAATAATTAAATAAATTTTCAATAATTATATTCAATTTTTTGATTAATTTGGTTCGATTTTGTTTTCCAAAATTAAACATCCATTAGATTTAAAAAAGTATCGCAAATCGAATCCTTAGTAATTTACAAATTCTCCTTCGAAAATAATCCCCCCTTTTGATTAAAATAATGACTATTGTGAAATTAGAAGAATAGAATTAACTAAAATATTGATAATAGAAATAATACTTCCTGAAAAATCACTGTTTTATAGGCTAACTGATGATAAAATTTGATGATCAGTTTATACATCCCAGAGACGAATAGAGTTATCATCACTCCCAGATGCTAATGTAGTCCCATCAGGAGAGAAACTGACTGACCATACAGCTTCACTATGACCAACTAATTTTGCTTTTTATTATCCTGAGTTAACATCCCATAATCGAATAGAGGTATCTCCACTGCCAGATGCCAATGTAGTACCATCAGGAGAGAAACAGACTGACATTACTAAATAGGTATGACCATCTAATCGCGCTTTTTACTATCCAGTCTTAACATCCCATAATCTAATTGAGTTATCTCCACTGCCAGACGCTAAAATAGTACCATTAGGAGAGAAACAAACCGACCATATAACATCACTGTGACTGTCTATTCTTACTTTTAATGTTCGTGTCTTTATCTCCCAAAAATGGATACAACTATCATTACTACCAGATGCTAATGTAGAGCCATCTGGAGAGAAACAAAGTGAATAAACACCATAACTATGAACATTTAATTTGGCTTATATTTATTTTGCCTTAACATCCAATAAAACTATTGAGTTATCGTCACTACCAGATGCTAATGTAGAACCATCAGGAGAGAAACAAACTGTTCGAACAATATCTCTATGAACATCGAATTTTCCTTTTTATTATCCTGTCTTAGCATCCCATAATGAGATAGAGTTATCATCGCTACCAGATGCTAATGTAATGCCATCCGGGGAGAAACAAATTGTTCGAACAGTATCACTATGAACATCTAATTTACCTTATTATTATCCAGTCTTAGTATCCCATAAACGGATTGAACTATCATCACTACTAGAGGCTAACATAGTACCATCGTAAGAGAAACTGACTGACCATACGGATCCACTATGGCCATCTAACTCTGATTTTTATTATCCTGCACTAACATCCCATAATCGAATTGAGTTATCTCCACTACCAGACGCTAATGTAGTCCCATCAGAAGAGAAACAAACTGACATGACATTACTGTTATGACCATCTAATGTTGCTTTTTGTTTTCCTGTACAAATGTCCCACAATCGAATTGAGTTATCTCCACCGCCAGATGCCAACTTAGTACCATCTGGAGAGAAACAGACTGACCATACAGTTGAATTATGACCATCTATCTTAGCTGTTAATTACTTTGTCATAACATCCCAAATTCGGATTGACCTATCTAAACTTCCAGATACTAATCTAGTACCATCTTTAGAGAAACAAACTGACATGACATTATTATTATGACCATCTAATTTGCCTTTTTATTATCCTGTCTTAAATTCCCATAAACGAATAGTCCTATCTTAACTACCTGATGCTAATATTTTATTGTCAGGGGAAAAACAAACAGATAGAACTAAATTATTATGACCATCTAATTAGGCTAATTATTATTTCTTTTTAATATCCCATAAACGNCTTTTGATTAAAATAATGACTATTGTGAAATTAGAAGAATAGAATTAACTAAAATATTGATAATAGAAATAATACTTCCTGAAAAATCACTGTTTTATAGGCTAACTGATGATAAAATTTGATGATCAGTTTATACATCCCAGAGACGAATAGAGTTATCATCACTCCCAGATGCTAATGTAGTCCCATCAGGAGAGAAACTGACTGACCATACAGCTTCACTATGACCAACTAATTTTGCTTTTTATTATCCTGAGTTAACATCCCATAATCGAATAGAGGTATCTCCACTGCCAGATGCCAATGTAGTACCATCAGGAGAGAAACAGACTGACATTACTAAATAGGTATGACCATCTAATCGCGCTTTTTACTATCCAGTCTTAACATCCCATAATCTAATTGAGTTATCTCCACTGCCAGACGCTAAAATAGTACCATTAGGAGAGAAACAAACCGACCATATAACATCACTGTGACTGTCTATTCTTACTTTTAATGTTCGTGTCTTTATCTCCCAAAAATGGATACAACTATCATTACTACCAGATGCTAATGTAGAGCCATCTGGAGAGAAACAAAGTGAATAAACACCATAACTATGAACATTTAATTTGGCTTATATTTATTTTGCCTTAACATCCAATAAAACTATTGAGTTATCGTCACTACCAGATGCTAATGTAGAACCATCAGGAGAGAAACAAACTGTTCGAACAATATCTCTATGAACATCGAATTTTCCTTTTTATTATCCTGTCTTAGCATCCCATAATGAGATAGAGTTATCATCGCTACCAGATGCTAATGTAATGCCATCCGGGGAGAAACAAATTGTTCGAACAGTATCACTATGAACATCTAATTTACCTTATTATTATCCAGTCTTAGTATCCCATAAACGGATTGAACTATCATCACTACTAGAGGCTAACATAGTACCATCGTAAGAGAAACTGACTGACCATACGGATCCACTATGGCCATCTAACTCTGATTTTTATTATCCTGCACTAACATCCCATAATCGAATTGAGTTATCTCCACTACCAGACGCTAATGTAGTCCCATCAGAAGAGAAACAAACTGACATGACATTACTGTTATGACCATCTAATGTTGCTTTTTGTTTTCCTGTACAAATGTCCCACAATCGAATTGAGTTATCTCCACCGCCAGATGCCAACTTAGTACCATCTGGAGAGAAACAGACTGACCATACAGTTGAATTATGACCATCTATCTTAGCTGTTAATTACTTTGTCATAACATCCCAAATTCGGATTGACCTATCTAAACTTCCAGATACTAATCTAGTACCATCTTTAGAGAAACAAACTGACATGACATTATTATTATGACCATCTAATTTGCCTTTTTATTATCCTGTCTTAAATTCCCATAAACGAATAGTCCTATCTTAACTACCTGATGCTAATATTTTATTGTCAGGGGAAAAACAAACAGATAGAACTAAATTATTATGACCATCTAATTAGGCTAATTATTATTTCTTTTTAATATCCCATAAACGAATTGACATATCTCCACTGCCGGATGCTAATGTAGTACCATCAGGAGAGAAACAAACTGAATTAACACAATTAGTGTGACCCTCTAATTTATTTAACTATTGTATTTTTATATTCCTCCAATTACATTCAAGCAATTAAGCACCATTTAAGTTCACTCCACTAATATCTACATTATCAAAAATCGACCGATTAAAATTGCAACCCGCAAAATTTCCATCAACTAAGGAAGTATCTTTAATTCTAACCTTCTCAAAACATTGTTCTCTAATATTGACCTTCATCTCTACCAATATATTCAAAGAATTAGACCCACATTTGATAAATCTCTCATCTATAGCTGTAAGTTGAACAAGGAATTTAAAAAAATCTACAATTCTCTCTTCTTTTGCTAATATTTTAATTAATTCCGTTCTAATATTTTTATATTCTTCAAATGAATAATTCTTCTTATTAAAATCAACTTCACTAATATTTTTAATCATATTAGTCAGTAATTTAATGGTATTTTTAACAGCATTTTCTAAATTGTTTTGCCTTTCAAAATTTTAAAGATATCCTACACAATCTGTAGTTTGCTCTTATCTTAACAATTCAATAATCACCCTGAATAGTTATTTATCAAATTTTTTTGATTCTGTCAATAATTAATATATATCTTCTTTCCAAACATAAACTTGATCATCCTGGTTGATTGGTTGAATACTTATTAAAATTTAATTACTTACTTTATCAAGGATTTAATCTCTCTCATTTCTTTTCTCAACTTTTCGCTGAAAGTATTAACTTCTTGGTCCAACCAATTCTAAGTCTTTTCTATTCTAATTAAATATGAATTTTTCTAGTCTATCCAGTCATTTAATTTTTTCCTTCTATAATTTATACTAGTTTTTCTAAATCAGCATATGGCAAGGTTGCTGGATTGAGATTTTCATTTTTAAGATTCATATATGATTAGTTTTCAATTTCTATTAAATCGTATGTTTTTTGTATAAATTCTGACAACTCTTCCCAAATTTTCTTCAACTCACCTTCAATTTTAGAGAGAATAGATTTAAATTTCATTCTCAAATTAGTTATTTCTGACGTCTCTTCAAACATAGCTTCTGTTAATTTTTTAATGGCTGCTTCTTGAAATTTTTTAAGTAGAACAGTATGTTGTTTGATATCCACTTCATGCTCATATTGACATTCAATACACAGTTTCCTTTAATATTAACACTTGTGAGGAGATATACATATCATTTATATTTGATTTCCAATATGATAAGTGCAATTCATTAATTTTATTTAAATATTGTATTTCTATTACTATAATTTTATGTCTTGAGGTGTGAGTCAAAATACTCTTATATATTTCTAATGTTTATTTCAGATACGAAAAAAAAAAATAGGCCACATGGAAGTCAAAAAATCTAGAGAGCTATATATTAGGTTTATAGATGTAAGTTAATTTATCCTGACCTTTATTAGAATCTCTTTTGATTGTATGGCACACACTAAAGCTAAATTACCCACTTGCCCCTTAATCGTAAGTTTGTAAGATAAGTAAAGGACATTCAGGGCATGTAATAAGCTGAACTTAAGGTTTCTTGGGGAAGACATCTGATTTTGAGTTTTGTATTTTGTGAGTTTTTTACAAAAAATAGTGTATATTTGAGAGATGATTAAATTTTAGTAACATAATCTAATAATAAATTGTAATTAAAACTAAAAATTCATATAGAATCAAGTTATGAATAAAAGCTTCAAAATAGTTTATTTATTAACGATAATCTAATCTATTAATAAATTTTATTGAAAAATATACATTTATGGTTTTATTTATATGTAACTGTAATTTTGGCTTAAAGTATTTCCTCAAATTTTATTAATTCTTCAAATTATCTCCTTATTGTTATTAATTTAATATTGAATAACAGACTTTGACTAATTCTATTGAATAAAAACTAAATGACAAATCAAACATAATAAATTACTTAATATA